GACTAAATGAGAAATGAAAAGTTAGAAATCAATCAACTTTTTGCTCTTAGCCCTGGAACAAAACGAAAAATTATTCAAGCCAAAAAAATTTATTTTAGGAAGGCAATCATTTGTTAAATTTAAAAAAGTGCGCATTGGAGCAAATGCCATCATTATGATGATGATTATAAAAGAAGACATTCGGATAGATAAAACTCTTTCTGTGATGTTAAAATGTTTCAATATTTTGGAGATTGGTACCAGAGTACGGGAACTAAGCTAGAGACTTGTCGTCAATTGAAAGTTAATTATTATTATTTTTTTTTCTGTTCTATAGTATCAATTTTAGGTAAACACAATTTTCAATTTCCATAACATTTTTCAGAATTATGATAAAAATTGTTTTAATAGCTTTGTTTTTGTGTAATTAAGAGATAATTGCTTTTCTGCTGGTATGACTGCCCTAATAGATTATGGTAATAATCAGCGGTAATTCAGAAAAGTGTTATCGATAATTCGTTGTTAATAGTGAAGAACACATTTTAATATAAAATGAAACAAGAAATATAACTATTTTTATAGCAACTACTAAAAGCATTTTAATACACTTCTATCTATCTATAAATATTACAGAGATATTATATTATGGAGAGTTTCTGGCTTATTCAATTGATTTATTACAGTTGAATGAGAGCAATAGAAAAATTGAAGGTAACTGTGAATGTATTGAGTAAATAATTAAATATAATAATTTGTAAAAAATAATAAAAATTATAAAATAAATAAATTTAAATAAGAAATAAGAAATGAAACAAGAAATATAATTATTTTTATAGCAACTACTAAAAGCATTTTAATACACTTCTGTCTATCTATAAATATTACAGAAATATTATATTATGGAGAGTTTTAGGCTTATTCAATTGATTTATTACAGTTGAATGAGAGCAATAGAAAAATTGAAGGTAACTGTGAATGTATTGAGTAAATAATTAAATATAATAATTTGTAAAAAATAATAAAAATTATAAAATGAATAAATTTAAATAATTTGTTTGTTGATGTATAAACAAAACATTATATAAACCAAGCTAAATATAAATTATTTCGTAAGCCTTTAAAGTCAAATCAAAGCAAATATGAACATTTTTTGTAGTAAATATTTATGACCGGGGCTCTAATTGAAAAAATTTTATCTACTGCAGTCAGTTAAACTTCGTCATGAAAATTATAAACATTTTAAAATTGGTTTTTGCTTATTTAACAATTTAAATTTATTATGTATATTATCATATCAAGTTATTTTATAAAATAAGTCTGCTATAAAAGAAGAATTATTTAGAATGTAGTTTTGTACTAAGAACAGACTTAAAATTACACTATCTTATAAATATAATAAAAGTATAGTGGTTATTAATAAAAATATAGTGCTTATTTATAATATATTAGGTGTAGTACAAACAAATCCATTATATCTTCAATAGATGGCTTTACTTATCTGTATGCCGCGTTGTATAAGTTCGACCGAGTTACGCTAGATGGCGTTAGGAAGATGACATTTCGTAATAAAAATTTTTTAATAGTTTTGTAATTGGTTCACTTAATTTTGTTCGAGTCACAGATGGATTCTATCAAAAAAAAAATATATCATATTTTATAGTTTTTCTTTGATAAAGGCAAAAACGCAAGCCAGGTGGCTAAAAATGTGAATAGTGTTTATGGTCCCTGATATTGTAACCGCCAATCATGCGCATAATGCACCACGCACTGAAAGGCCAACTGTTTAGATTGTCCTAAAGATTGCACAAAAAACCGTTTGGAATCATTTGAATAAGGTTGAATACTAAAGGAAGCTTAATGTATTTCCATATGCGAATCGTTGCTGTTCCGCATCAAAATCGACCCATTTATGAAGCTGTTGATGACTGGTGATGAAAAGTGTATCATTTTCGACAACGTAAAGCGAAAATGCTCATGGTCTAATCGTTGGGAGCCGGCTGAAACGGTGAAACGGAAGCCAGGATTGACGGTCAGGAATGTTTTGCTGTTTGTTTGGTGAAATTGGCAGGGAATTATCTACTATGAACTGCTTCCCTATGGAAGCAAAAGTCTTAACTCGGAACTGTAGTCAACAATTGAACCTGTACTGTCTGAAGAAATTATTCGCCCAGAAACGACCAGCTTTGGGCAATAGTAAAGGAATTATAAGGACTCGCTAAAAGCTTCGGGAACTTAGTTGGGAAGTTCTTATGCATCCACCTCATAGTCTAGATCTGGCACTAAATGATTACTATCTGTTTGTGTCCATGGCCTATGACTTTTCTGGTGAAAAATTTGGTTCAAGAGAGACTTCTGAAAATGGATAGTCTCAATTTTTTGCCAATAAGGAAGAGGATTTCTATGAGAGATGCATAATGAAATTGGCTTTATAAATGGTAGCAAGTTATTGAACAAAACAGCGTATATTAGACTTAAATCTGTTCATTTTAACTGTAGTAAATAAGTCTTAAATTTCATGGGTTTCTTTTTACTACATCTATTATTTATTTTGTATATTGTTTAAAACGTTGAGTATAGAAGTATCCTTTGTACCTGTATCAGTATCGTTTAAAAATCATATAATTTAAAATGATATTTTAATGTGTTATACATTATATGCAATATATTAACGCAATAACAACTAAGTTCTAGTACTACTTTCAAAGATAAGATAATCATATAAAATAGTTTTATCAATAAAAAGGTTTTATAGGAGTGATTTCCTATAATTAATATTTCATCTTTATTACAATACGAATAGATTCCATTTTATAATTTAATTTATTTAATAACATGATTTTAAAAAAGTTTCAATAATTCTGTTAATAATTCAGTAGTTAAATTCTTTTTAGTACTGATGTTAAATTTACGAAGACATTTAATTAAAAATATTTATATTTTTTTTACAATATTTCACCCATCAAAAAAAGGGGCAATTAGGCAAATTCAACGAAAAATGTACAATCAGTTTTTCTGTAGAATAACTTTTGTAGCAATGCACAATAGACAACAGAAATATTTTCTATATCATAATATGTAAGGACTCCATGGTAAGGCCTCGAGACAAGGAAGGTTCAGTATTAATATATATATACCATATTTTTCTATGCAGTTGTTTTTAAAAAATGTTCCCTGATGATGGGCTTAAACGACCGAAACAACTGAAATGTCGGATATATAGATTTAATAAATAAAACAATAAAAAAAATTTTTATTAAAAAACCAAATCACAAATTCTGACTATGTTAATTAGCCCATCACTCATCAATAATAAAGTTTAAAAAAAAAGTCAGCATAAATAAAATATTGTTTATACCTACTTATAATTTATTAAGTTACGGTATTTAACTTCATTACTTAATTTATGGATCTAAAGTTTAAAGTTTTTAGTACAGTGAAAGCTTTCCTAAGTTGTCATTGACAGGACCAACAATTTTGACCAATTAAGAAAACTGTTTAAAAGAACGTAGTTTGCACAAACAAATAAAAGCAGAGCTTTTGTTGCACACTTTTTTGTCATTATTTTATCATAATGGTTTCACTTCTGACTATTATATAGAATGATTATTATTAGATAGAATATTGTTTGACATATTGATTATAAAACATATAATTATATATAATATAGGAGACGGTTAAGTCTTTGATAATCTTTGGATACGTATCCATTTTAATCATCTTTTTGTGGTCTGCTTAGTAATATCATTTTTTTCGCATATAAACATTTAGTATGCGGCGTAAATAAATAATTTATTTTTATAATTATCGGCAGTTGTTGTGCTAATTATATATAAACTTCTTTTGTTAAAGCATGTGGTAAAGTTAGGCGTACATTAACCTTGTGAATTTTACATAGTTTTACTTCAAATATCTCATGTATGTTATCTAAGATAGGTTATTGTGACTACAAATGTTTACGTTTTACCATTTTTTTAATCAGTAGTGTTACTTTTAAAGAAAGCTATAAAGGTTAATTTTTATGATTATTCCAATGGTTCAAATTTAAATTTTTGTTTAAACTTTGTTGGTCTGTCTAGCTGGGTGTTACTAGTGGATAGTACCAAGTAACTGTAAATAGTTTTTCATCACATCCTTCCTTTAAAATGTGATTTCCTCTGTAGCGCTCTGTATGTTATATTGAGAAGACTGATACTGTATAGTTGTAGCAGCTTGCAGGATCACGTAATGGATGTTTTAATCTCATCAAATTGAGGAAGAGGTCCGATGATTATTTCATCGTTAAAGATGGAGCGCTTTCGCACGCCAATGAATTGTAACAACAGAATTCTTATTTATTTTTAATTAGGCCGTGTGCGAGTTCGAATTTCAAATTTTTGGCTGACCAAAAAATTTGTATCTTCTATAACGATTAAATTTTGGGAATCAATTTAGTGTAATCGAGAAACCGGTTCTTTGAAATTCTGAGCATACTTTGGGCATTTATCATCATATTACTTTTATTGATCTTCCAGAAATAAGTTTTCACGTCTGTTAGGTTCTATTAATATGCTATAAGATTATATTATTTTAATTAGTTTCTGTATACTATAGTTTAGCTGTATTTATAAATCAGTTAAATAATTGAATCTGATAGTTAATAATGAAATTCCATAAAATGGTTAACTTATTGCATTGATGATTGCAGTTATAGTTGTCGTAACCCGAGCATGTCATTGGAACAAGATCATGAATGAATTTCCTGACAGATATTTATAGTAAGATTAAACATTTGAAAGCTTTTTTTGTATTTTATATTTTGTATTTTTAGTATATATTCTGTTATTAATTGTGAAGGTGTGTGTATTTCTTCCAAAGTTTTAGTATATATTTTTTTTCCAATAACTGATAAAAATTAATTTTTTAAATTTAATCATGAGCCATATATATCTAATTAAGCATTAAAAAAGACTGGATTGAACATTCACACCCGTTTAAAACTAATCAACATTATTCTTAAACTAATAACTTCATTTCATTTACAGATCCGCCAATACGGGCTGAACAGCAGCAGAATGTTCATGTACCACAGTATTTGCCAGATCCAAGAGATGGTAGCATATATCAAATGGGTGATATGGGAAGTGTAAAAAAATTGCCATACACAATACCACAATTGGTTGCTAGCGCACCATGCCGTTCTTCGGATGGAATTTTGTATTCAGGCAAAAAAAGTGATACATGGTTTATAGTAGATCCAAAATCTGGTCGACGTGAAAAAGTTATGGACTTTGGTGGTTCTGTTGATGGTTCAAAAATAAATGGTGAAAAAATTGGATGGGCAACATCGCGTTCGATTTATCTTGGACGTACACAGTATACAGTAATGATGTATGACAGTTTGGCAAAAGATAAGAATAAGAAGCCATGGAATATAACATTTTATGATTATAGTGCATTAACAATGACGGCAGATATATCAAAGGAATATGGTAGGTCATATGCATTTAACATAAAAAATATCATAATAAAATAATGAATTTGTGTATTGTAGAATATTTACATTTAACTACTACAGCAAATGGTAATCTTGTCACCTTGGATCGTAAAAGTGGAAAATTCATATGGAAGCGTGACTTAACTAGTCCTGTTGTGGCTGCATTTTTATTGGGTTCAGAAGGGTTATTGAGTGTACCTTTTACTACAGTATCTGACGAGGCATTTATGTCTATTTTGGAGGAGTCAAAAGGTGGAAATGTGAATACTATAAAGCTATTGTAAGTCGCATTTTAATAGAAGTTATATAAAGTCATTAATTAATTTTCCTTTATAGTCAATCGTTATATGTAGGAGAACATAGTCACGGTTTATATGCTATACCTTCTTTGGTAGATAAAAATACGCCTAGCATTACCACAACACCACCCATTAAATTATTAGGGGGCCCAGAAACTACTAAGGAATCTGATGAAAATAAAGTATTTATCAATGATGTTATACAAAATAATGCTGGCATAGTTCTCGGTCATTATGAAGTACCGAATGATCTGAATTTGCAAATATCACCAAGTCCAGCAAAAGATGAAACAAATCATGGTTTAGCCACGATACATAAACTTTCTGATGAAACATTAAGGGCTGCAAATGGGTTCACAATATTAACAGGCGGCAATAGTAAATCCAATGCCGACATTGGTGTACAAACAGATCCAGTGGTTGATATAAAAATAGAAGCAAATGCATTTAACAAAACAAAAAAAATCATACTTGCTAATAGCAATAAAATACAAAAATTTATAAATGAATGGTTTATGGATCATCCCAGTAGTAAAGTTCATCAGATACTGTTTGTTTTGGTTATTGCTATGTTGGGCATGTTTTGGTATATGTTCAGTACTATGCGTGAATTAAAAAATCAGAGCGAAAATGGTTCAAAAACATATGCTACAAATAAAAGTAGCAGTGGTAGTAGTACAATCAGTACAGAAGATCTAATTGATTTGGGTGATGGACATATACGAGTAGGAAAAATTGCGTTTAATTCTAATGAAGTACTTGGAAAAGGTTGCGAAGGCACATTTGTCTTTAAAGGTACTTTTGAAGAACGTTATGTAGCTGTAAAACGTTTATTGCCTGAATGCTTTACTTTTGCTGATCGTGAGGTGGCATTATTACGTGAGAGCGATGCGCATGAGAATGTTGTACGTTACTTTTGTACAGAACAGGATCGTCAATTTCGTTATATTGCTGTAGAGCTGTGTGCTGCAACATTGCAGGATTATACAGAAGGTGAAAGTAGCTTAGATTTTCGCAAACAAATTGATGTGTGGAGTGTATTGCGACAAGCTGCATCGGGACTCTATCATTTACATTCCTTAAATATCGGTAAGTGCAGGTGCTGGGTTATGGTATATATAACTAATAGAAAAAACAAAAAAATTAAATCTTTGTTTAAAAACTTCTTACAAGTTATAGTATATTGCGCTATAGTGCTATATATGTCCATTAACCATATACCATACTACATTACATTACTATTTATTTAAATTATGTTTAAAACGACTGTTAGGCATCATAATGACTCAAAATATCAGTTATGGTCACTATATATCTATATATATTTGTTGGTATGTTATTTTTTAGTCCATCGCGATATTAAACCCCAAAATGTTTTGTTATCACTGCCTGACATAAATGGGACAGTGCGTGTTATGATTTCTGATTTCGGGTTATGTAAGAAATTAAATTTCGGCAAAACTAGTTTTTCCCGTCGTTCTGGAATTACTGGTACAGATGGTTGGATTGCTCCTGAAATGATGCGCGGTCAGAGAACTGTAAGTAATATAAATACTAATGGTAATATTAACCATCTTATGTTTTTTTTAGACTACTGCTGTTGATATATTCTCCTTGGGTTGTGTTTACTATTATGTACTTAGTGGAGGTCAACATGCATTTGGCGATGCATTAAAACGTCAAGCCAATATTTTATCAAATGAATACAGCTTATGTAAGCTTAAAGATGATGTTGATACATTGCAACAAAGTAAACTGGTAAGCAGTTAACTTTTTTGAATTTGATTTAAAGAGCTTTTACCAGTTTTTTGCTTATAAAAAACGTAAGTTATTCTTTTAAGAAATTACTCCATTGCTTTGTATTACCACTTTTCATATGAAAGTACTCAGGGATAAAAAAAAATTGCTTACATGTCCACTTATATTTTTTTAAACAAAAACAAAATATTCCTTTATGTACCTGTGCGATATAGCCATAGCCATAGTATATGAGTGTAAGAGACATTTCCCATTTAAACTCTAAGCGCATATATTTATGTGCAGAAATAAAACCTGGTTGAGTTGTGATTTTTTTTTAAACATATTTATTTTTACGATTGACTATTTATTTAAGGTAAGGCGATATATCGGGTGTGTTTTAAACTGCATGAAAACTATCGATGTCGAAAACTATGGTTTGACAGTCACCATTACGAATCACCATTACATCCATTAAAATTGATTGTTTGGGTTCTCGACATCATCGGTCTTTATTTATTTCAAAATGAGGAACGAGCTCCTGCTATGGTGAATGGCGAGCGCAATCGAACCATGCTGACTGAATTTTTGTTTCCAAAAATTAATCAGTTAAACATCGATGACATTTGGTTTCAACAAGGCGACATATGGCCCAACTTACCATACAGAGCGTTTAACAATCGATTTATTGAAAAATCAATTTGGTAATAACTTTATTTCCAAAAGTGGTCATGTTAACTGGCCCCTCGTTCGTGCGTTTTTACGCCTTTCGATTACTTTTTATGGGGCTATGTTAAGTCATTGGTTTATGCCGACAAACCAACAACTCTTAAAGCATTGAAAGCCAATGTTCATTTCACCATTGACGCCGTACGTCATACGGCGGACATATGCCGGAAGTCATATTCTAAAAATAAATTCCACGAAGTTATCAACCAGATTATAATAAAAAAAAATGTAATTCCAACTGTATGTAATGTAATTCTGTCTTGTATTATCATTTTAGATTCTCATGCAACTAAAAAAAGTCGGATATATATATATTGCGAACTGTGTTGGGGTGTAAAAGTTATAGAACTTATTTTGATTTTTTTGATATGGTTGTTAACAGTAAAGTGACTATTAATTTTTATTGTTTATGGTACCATATGGTAAACAGAACTGGTAGCTCGTTACGCATAGGACCTAACCTAATTAGCCCCTGTGTTATGCTTCAAAAACAGTTTCCAAGGCGTATTAAATGGTTTTCAAAAAATGTTGGGACAGATAACACAAAATATAAAACAAAGTCATTGTAGATTCATAGATTCATTAAGTATAGCATAGCCATAGCAGGCTGTGGCCTATGTTTGATGCTCGTTTTTGTATGAACCATATAAGTTCAATGGTTAAGAATGGCTATTATATTGTATTTTAAAGCAAAAAGCTGATTTAAATTTGCAGCAGGCAAATAACATAGTTTAATGGTCTTCTGTGGTCATGCTTATATATTCTTATTTAAAATATATTAATCTTTACTAATGGCGTTTGATTTTTTAAATTTTATTTTTAGATTTTAGCTGAACAACTGATAGCTGACATGATACACAATGACGCACAGTGTCGGCCTTTGGCACGTTCAATTGGTAACCATCCAATATTTTGGAATGATCAAAAAATATTGGCATTTCTGCAAGATGTTAGTGATCGTGTAGAAAAATTACAATTTCATGTAGAACCTTTAAAAAGCTTAGAAAAGAATGGTCGAATAGTAGTGCATGAAGATTGGAACCTGCACTTAGACCCTTTAATTACAGATGATTTGCGTAAATATCGTGGTTATATGGGCGCAAGTGTACGTGACTTACTGAGGGCTTTACGAAATAAAGTGAGTGTTTTAATCCGTTTAATAGAGATATTAGATAAATTCTTTGTCTCTTTTTAGAAACACCATTATCATGAATTAACCGACGAAGTGCAAAAATTACTTGGTAGCATTCCACATGAATTTACCCAATATTGGATAAATAAATTTCCACAATTAATATCGCATGCATATCATGCGTTTCGTATTTGTTCAAACGAACCTATTTTTAAACCCTATTATAATAACGATTATTATTTTACACGTCCAGAGTATTTCGAAGCAGATGATGAGCTATTCCCATCATTGATGCTGGATCCAAAGCCATTACTTAAGCAAAATGCAGGTAATGGTAGTCCAAAGCGGACTCCTCAACGTACACCAGATAACAAACAACAACAACAGCAACATATAAAGAATCGTAGAGGTGTTTATAATTTTCGGAAAGGTAATAATGATGATGGAAGTGGCAATGCTGCATTACCTGGTGTTGGTTTACTACGTAATGTTAATGTTAATGTAAATCCAAGTGGATCAATGGTTGAAGATCAAGATGATAATAATAAACGCGATTTATTCGCAAATTTTAAATTTAAAAGATATCAGAAAACTTCTAATCGTAATTACAACAATTATAATAATAATAAGGATAGAAGTGTTACTTGGACAATACCTACGCAAAATGATGACATATAATTTTTATTTTACAAAACTATAGTCTAAATTTAGATTAAAATATATACTGAAGATATGCAATATATTGTATATTTGCATATGATTGGAAACTGCATAGGATTGAATATAATATATAATTTCTAAATTATTATTGATATTGTTGGTAATTCAAAGTTGTAGATGTAGTTTCATCACACAGATATAAAGAAAGTATAAATAATAGCTTGTGTCAAGCTAACCTTTACTTAATTCTCTTTGACTATTTGAGCGAATTTTATAATTAAAATGAATAAAATTATCAACCTAAATTTATTTATTAACGCTAGTATAATTTTAGTAAATTTTATATTCCAAATTTTAATTTTGTGCAATGATATATAACACTTTATTACTTTTAATAAGATATTATTTATGCCGACAGTTTTAATACGAATATTTTATTTTAATTATATAAAAAATGATATATTTTATTTATTACGTAGTGCATGCAATTTTAATAACATAAAGCTTAAGTTTTAATATACATTTATGTATATAAAGCGCAGTTAAAAACAATAGTATATAGTACACCGTTGTAAACAGAAATTTATATTTTATGCAAGAGTGCGGTTTTTGAAATATATCGCAATTTTTTAGAATAATTTTATAATGAGGTTTTTCGAACAGTAGTGAACTACAACAACAAAAATTTTTATTTTTTATATTATTTTAATTAATTGAATTTTTGGCTGACAATACAGCTGTTTCGAGTATTGCCAAATACCCGTCATCAGTGGTCTTGGAAATAATTCTTGTATTTAATTATTCATAATTTTATAATTTAAATGAATGCCTAAACTATTTTGTAGAACGAAATCTGTACTGCAATTACTCTATAATGTATCTTGCTTGACTTTGATTCTACAGAAAAGTTGCAGTTCACTTTGAAAGTAAATTGATTTAAGTTTTATTAGAAACATTTTTGCGCGTTATGCAAGTAAATAGCTTCAATATGAAATTCATTTGTTTTTACATAAAAGTAGGCTTTATACTAGTATAATTGAAATAAAATTATATATATATAATATATGATATGTGTATTAAAACAGTACTGAAAGAATTTTAAATAATTTTTGTATCAATGTTAATACTTAATGACTAAAAGAATTGAAATGTGTCTGTCAAATGCACGTTATTGTCTGTGATAAATTATATATTCATTTATTATAATTATTATATTATACAATATATATAATATATGCATCGATTTTTATGTATAATATTTAAGTACTATAACTAGTACTTCAAATATTACAAGATATTATATCTATATCTATATATATGTTACTACTTGATTTATTCATATGTGTATTTGCACTTATATGTATAAATAATTATTTACGCATACAGATATATGTATGTTTGCAAAATTAAAATATGTAATTTTAATTGAATTTATATTTACATGTGTGTATTTTTTTAATTGAAAAAATGGTTTTTAAAAATATTATATATATAATAATTAATTTAAGAAAGCTAAATGAATTTAATTTTTATTATAATTCTATGTTGTCCTAAAAAATCAGTAAAATAAAATATAAGGCTAAAACAAGTGAAATTTATTTTATTGTATTAAAATAGCATATAAAAAAGATTCAGACTTTTGGAAGACCTGATTATGATTATCAGTTGAATTAAAAAAAATTTAATAAAAAAAATAGCTGAACAGAAAAATAACTAAAGAGAATATAAATTTAAATTAAATTATTATATAAAGTATTCGTTTATGTTAATATAGACCGCCATGGACTATGTTAAAATACAAGAGTCTGGTTCTTTACTAATGAAAATTCATATGAATAAAAAATTTAAATAAATAGTTTTAAAGTTATTCTGGCATGCTCTAGAATTCGAATCCGCATAAAAAATTCGATTTCAATTTAAATTCACATTTTGGTGCTCTGCTTTTATCATTTCATTTGCGATTTCACAAATGAAATCGAATGAATTTGCTTGCTCTAGAAATCGAATCCGCATAAAAACATGTGATTAAAACCACATATCGAAATAGTTGTGAATTTAAAAGTGGTGAAAATAACATGTAAGTATAATTACATTTTTTTTGAATTAAATCAGTTTCAAGTTATGTAAATAAAAAAAATAATAATTTTGATATTTTATTTTGAAGGGGTAAACACAAGAGCACTGTGCAAGATGGAATCTTGCTAAGATTTATGGAGATGCATAAGGAAATTGCAACTGCCTTTGTCAAAGGCGACAAAGTGGCCACGGAGCAACTATGGGCAGAACTGACAGGAGAGCTAAACAGCCATGGTCCACCTAGCAAAGATATCCAGGGATGGAAAAAGGTAAATTGCATTTTTTTTTATTCTTTAGCATGAAAACTTTTTATTCATGGTAATACAATTACAGGTGTGGCTCGACTGGAAGGCGATTGTTCGTAAAAAGATTGCGCACAATAATTCAGAAGCGCAATCTGAATTATTGTGAAGTAATCTTTATTTTTCGTTGTTTCATCCAGTATGAATTAGCCACCTACGTCGACTCATTCAAATCTAACGGATTGCTGCAATCTCTTAAAATCCGTCTTTTTATTTTTTCATTTGTGTGACTATTATTTTTAGCTGCCACCAATGTTAGCATTCCGAACATTTTATAAAAACTGTTTTTTTTTTATTTTACTTATTAAAATTTTAAAATTTCACTTAAGTATTTTGAATATTTTTCAAAACGGCAAAAATATATTTCACAACTTGTTAAAATAGTCAACAAACAGGTGTTTAAATTCATTTTATTCATTTTGATTTCATTTTGAAACCGCATGAAAATATTCGATTTCTGGAGCACCCAAAACGGGTTCATTCCGTTTCAAATTGAATTTCGAATTGAAATGAAGTCGAAATTCAGAGCATGCCTGATTATTGTAAGCACATATACAATCTAAATTTATGTCAATATCTCCTCGCTGAATTTCTTGTAGAATATAAACTGATCCGAATTAATTCGATACGATATTTCGTGGTGTGTGAACGGGGCAAGTGATAGTGTGTATTTTTGTGTCTATTTGAAAAACAAATTACAATGAGAATATATATTATAGCTTTACTGATGAATTAATGTTTATGCGGTTATAAAATGCATGAATACTTAAAACGAATTGCAGTTCGTTTCAGTATTCGATATTGCAGTTTACTGAGAGCAGTATTCGATATATTGGTCAGCCAAAAGTAGGACATTCACGAAAAATGTGCTTACAGCTATCGATGTGCACTTCACGAAGACAGCTTCACTTCACGAAGACAGCTTCACTTCACGAAGATATTAGTGTCAAAAGGTCACAACTGATTTTAGTGATATACTATTGGTTGTAGTGTTCGCAAATTACTTTTTTCACTATTTTCGGATGACTTCATTCGAGTAACTTTTTGTGAAAGTCCAGGGAAAGTCTCAGAATCGATTACGGATGATACAGTTACTCCTCTTTTGACAAGACAATCACCCATTTCATCACTCTCATACCTTCGCATTCACTCGAATACTACAATATTAAATAACCTCAACAGATTGCAGGAATGTTTCATATTCCTTCAATTTCTCAAGTGTCGACCGCTATACAAAAAAAAAAGAAAAATTCCTCACAGACGGTACGGAATAAAATAAATGATCTATGACAAAATTATAATCTTTTGTTTTAATTGCAACAACAAAATTTTATTATTTTTTAATAATTGAGTTTTTGGATGACTATACAGCTGTTTTGAGTACTGCCAAATACCCATCATCAATGGCCTTTTTGGAATTATTTCTCATATTTAATTATTCGAAAATAATTTTTTGAGACTGAAAGTACGAGTACCAAGGGTTGAACTCATACCCTGGCAAGCTTTGTTTTAATTTTAAAAGCTTTTATTGTGTGTGAGACGGTGCAGTGCATATTTGAAATTCAAAACATGAATGAATATATCAACATATCTGTATCTACAGGATGCTTGAACTTATTGAGTTCCAAGATCAGCAGCTAGGCGATGGTATTTTTTGAATTTCAAATTTGGCTAATGAATTGTTTAGAAACTTAAGCACTTCTATTTCCTGATATACTATTGTACATCCATTTGTTATCTGTTGAAAGTCAACTAAAAGGCAATCAACAACGCAAATGGAGATGTTTTATTATAACTAATTTATTGCCATTATTTTTTTCCGTTTCATTTATAATGCTTTTAAGGGCCTTAATATTTGTTTTCCGCTCGTTAAACTTTATACCGATTTGAGATATAAATCGTATATAGTTTGAATGTTTTCTAAGAAAATATATTTGAAAATGTATATGTATTGTGATTTCTCTGCTCTTGTTGACGAAATTGAAACAAATATATTTATTATTTTGATTTTTATTAATTATTGAATTACATTTCTTTAATAATAATAAACATTTTTAATTTAAATAAAATAATAAAATATACATACAAAATAACAACAATAACAATAATAACAACAAAATTTTAAAATTTGCTCTATTCAATTAATTTACAAAAGAGTTTTTTATAATAAATAATAAATAATAATGATAAAAAATAATGAAGGCTAGAGTATATAACTTTTTAAAAGTGCTATTGAAATTTTATAAATAGACTAAACGGATTATATTACGATTTTTTTGGCTTAATTTATGTGCATTCTTAGTTTATTTTTCAGCGTTATGAAGAATAAATATAATGTCAGACCTTGTTTTACTAGTCAGTTTAACGAGCGCTTCTGGATGCTCTTATATCCTGTTTCACACAAATTTTAAATGCATCCCATCCTTCAGCTTTCGTTGTAGACTACAGAAAAAAAAATAATAATTATAAAAATTGAATATTGTTTAATGGTATAAAATTTGAGTTATAGTTTAGTTTAAACTTAGTTTTGTTTAAACTATTTTGTAAATAACAAAACTTTCAAGCATAAATAGATTAATTTTTGGCTTACAATACAGCTGTTTCGTGTGGTTTTTGAAAATATTTCTTGAATTTAATTATTCAAGTCTCAAATTTGAACTGTTCTAACATAGAATTTTGTCAATTTAAGGATGACGTTAACCAATATATTCAATCTTCATTTGTTATATTAGAACGAAATCGCATCCCACAGTCATACACTTTTTGAATTAACTAATCATAGTTCTTACTGTTTCAGTACTATTCTTTTTGTAGATTATTTTATGCTTACTTTTACATCTTTTATGTGCAGCTCCTTCTGTTAAGGTTTAGTTCCTCATGTTATTCTAACATATCTAACGTATTTAACTACTGGCGATATAAAATAATATC